GGTCCCAGGTTCGATTCCGGTCAAGGGCATGTACCTTGGTTGTGGGCACATCCCCAGTAGGGGGTGTGCAGGAGGCAGCTGATCAATGTTTCTCTCTCATCGATGTTTCTAACTCTCTATCCCTCTCCCTTCCTCTCTGTAAAAAAACAATAAAGTATATTTAAATTTAAAAAAGAGATAAACCTACATTTCTATAAAAATGGAAGCTTTTGTTTTTTTGCGGCCCACATAAACTTAAACCTTGTTTATTTGGCCCATGTTAGCCTTTGAGTTGACATGCTTGCTCTACGGGCTTTGCAGAAAACTGGAAGTACAACCGAGCGGCACTCAGGAGTCACACCTTGCATTTAATCTCATCAAATCTTACAGTGCAGCCTTGTTATAGAGGTTATTATCCTCACCTTATCGATAAAGAACTCTATTTCCCCATGGTTCTAGGACATCAATTTTAGTCAGCTAAGCTTTAAAAAAAGGAAACGCGCCCTAACTGGTTTGGCTCAGTGGATAGAGTGTTGGCCTGAAGGGTCCCAGGTTCGATTCCGGTCAAGGGCATGTACCTTGGTTGCAGGCACGCCCCCAGTAGGGGGCGTGCAGGAGGCAGCTGATCGATGTTTCTAACTCTCTATCCTTTTCCCTTCCTCTCTGTGAAAAATCAATAAAATATATTTTAAATAAATAAAAATAAAAAAAGGAAACGTAAGACTAATATCAAGCTGACTTTCCAAACTGTCATATTAGTTTGGGGTAGACATCTTCTGAAAGTATTGTGATTTGGCAAAGGAGGAGGCATATGAGAACTGAAAAAGAAGCACACAAAAGGCACAATTTAAAAATGTATATTCAATATATTATGCACATATGTTGTTTAATGTAAAATGTGGATGGGAAAGCTCAGTGGAATCGCAGGAGACGAGGCTGTATGGAAGATGATACTATAGGAAGACTGAGGTTGGAGAAATGGGACATTTTCATTGTTTCCAAGTGCTATTATTGGTGATTCTCTGCATGGGTCAGGGCGGGGATTCTGTAATCCCTTCTTTGTTGTTTGTCTTGGTTATAGTAAGGATATGATAATTTTGTGACTAAAGACAAAATAAAGATTTAATAAAAATCACTTTCATATCCTGCCTGCTTCCAAAATGGATTTGAAGCATTTTTCAACTAAAGAACATACATACAGGGTAGTGTTAAAAACTGGGTTTAACAGATACTTGCATAGTGCTTACTATGTGCCAGCCACTATTCCAAGTGTATTATACAGATGAACTCTTTCAATCCTTACAACAACCCTATGAAGGAGGTACTATTATTGCCCCCATTTTAAAATGAGAAAAATTAGGCATACAGAGATTAAATAAATGGTCAAGGTTTTTCATCTATAAGTGGTGGAACTGGGGTTTGAATCCAGGCAGTTCAAGTCTAGTGTCTCTACTCTATACTGTCACACAGTTAAACAAAAGATAAAGGGAAATGTTTAAAGAGGGATATGACTATCAGAAACCAAGGATAAAATAATTACAAGTTTGCTTCTGAGCATTCTGCCAGCCACAATAGAATGGTAACTGAGAGGTTACACTGCTTTTCCAGACGAGAAGAGTAAGCACACAGGTTCTTTGTGAGAGGCATACTGTTTTCTAGCTGGAATTTCTTATGGGATCCATAAAAGGTAAAGGACATATGTCTTCAAAGTGGTGCTGCAGAATATTTGAAAACATCCTTCTAATAGTTATTTTTTCAATTTCAGGAGGCTTCTTCTGCCACCCCTGCCACCATGAAGGCTGCCTCTTCTGTATGCTCTTAGCACAGCCTGTGTGTATCTCTGATCACTGCACCTATCATGTTATTTTTCTGTGTCTTCCATTGGACTGTAAGCAACCTGAGCAGAGGTTTTTTTTGTTCCTGGTATCCAGGACAGTGACTGACACATTGTAGATACTCAATAAATCTTTGTAGAATGGTACTTCGAGGCAGCAATTTCCGGTGTTTACCTATGCTACCATCTTGGTTTTGTGGAATGGTACTAGTTGTCAACAGCAAACTTGATAAAAGCCCAAAGTAGAGACTAGCAAATCAAGTTAAGCAGTTTGCGCCAATGTTCTCAGGGCTGTTTGCTGGATTCTAGCTTGAAAGAAGTATAAAGCCTAGGGAGCCTAGGGCAGTGAATCCCAAACTTCAGAATGGCTATGTGCAGACTCTTGGGTACTCCCCCAGAAAACTAGATTTGGCACATTGGGGGTAAGGCCCTGGAAGCTATAATTTTTCAGAGGCCACAAGTGATTTTGATGCCCATCTAGTTAGTTTGAGGACCCAGTGCTCTTGGGTAATTCCTAATCCACAGAATATAATGTTGCAGGGGACGAGTTTCTCTGGGGTCTTGTGGAATACTACTATACCTCCTAGTTTATCTGCACTCTTTAGGTACAGTTGTATAGTTATCTGTAAAGCCACTTAACTGTAGCAAAATTCATATTTTTCACCTTGAACAGAGATAACAGGAGATACTTTATTTTTTTTCCTTTTTTTTTTCTTTTCCTTGATGTCTGTAGCCAAACTTATCCCTGAGGCCCAGCAGAGGGGATCAGGGCCCATGCACCACAGTGTTTCTGTGGCAGGCTTCTGGGCGAGATCTGGTGGCTTTAAATCCAACCTTCTCATTTTATAGAGGTGGAAATTTAGTCTCAGAGAAGTGAAGAACCTTGTGCAAAATCATGCAAGCAATTTTAACAACTAAGGCCAGACTAGAACCCAAGTAACCTCGTTATGAAGAACTTGTTTCAGTAGGGAAAGAAATCTCAATAGGAAAATTCAGACAAAGAGACTGGAATGGGGCTTACCTTTCTCATGCTCATAACAGCTTGATCCAAAGTCAATAACTTTAATAGAGACTTGGCCCTTCTGGTGTAACACGATATTTTCCTGAAAAGAAGAAGGACATATGTCACATTTTAATAATGTTGTCCTAGGCCTTCTATTGATCTAAATGTCTGCCATCCTACAGGACCCAGTCCAAAATTAGACTACTTCATGGTAGACTCCTCCCACATCTTCTCCAAATCCCATGTGTTTACCTACCTTGACATCCCATTTGACTTGTGTTATATACCTCTTATTTGCTGCTTTGCAGTATTTCTTTTACATGTATTTTGTCCCTTTCCCCATATAGATTATGCATTTATTTTTTTTATCTCCTAGGCACCTGGTCCTATGCCTTGCTTACATAAGGCCTTAGAAATATAACTGACAGAATTTGATGTATCCATTAAGTGCCCAATCACATACAGCTATGAAGGTAGAAGATTAAAACAAACAAAAAAGAGTATGGTCAGCAAGTCTTAAAAGAATGAGAATTTCTTGTGTGTCTCTAGGTCAATGAAAAGGCTCCTTAGCTAGAGGGAACTGGCCTTCCAATTTATTGGCAGAAACCACTTGGGGGGGCAGGGGCGGGTGTCATGGATGCATCAGGGCATCACAGGTCTTTGATACTAAACATTAAGTTTGTAAGAATAACTCCAATTCTTGAACCCACATTCATCACTCTGTTGGTTATATGCATACTTCCCCTACTGGGCACATGCATTCCAATTTACTTGACCTATTTCTCAAGGAAATAAATATTTTGGCTACCAGGTGTCTTGTGAATTTCCTGTTGAGAGTCAGTCCCCTAAGCTCAAAGACCATGGTTATTGTGACCTGTTGAAGCTGCAAAGCTAAGGATTAGGAACTTGAGTGTGGAGAATAAATCAATGTACTGGCATTGTGAGGCTCCTCCAGGCAGCCCTGAGAGAACATCTCTATTTAGACAATCGTTAATTGTCTAAGTATCCCAAATTATCCAATGAATTACATTTTTAAAAAGTAACCATTTTGGAGTGTGAGGAGAAAGGAATGAGGAAAAATTAAAGGATATTTAAGTATCTGTGAGAGTCAGGTTGATTTGGGAACTAGCTCCTGGCCTCATATCTTCATACTTTTATACCTTTTCTCTAAGTACCTCTCTGTATTCCTCACATTTACAATCATTAATTCATCTAACAAACATTTACCTACATATTGACTGCAATATCTATTGTCAGGTACCATGTAGGGTCCTGAGAATAAAATGGTGAGAAGACATGATTCCTGACCTTGAGAAAACTTGCAGTTCAGTGGCAGGCACACATAAGCAAACAAATCCTACAGAAAGCAATCAGTGAAGTAACAGAGCTAAGTATAGAATGCTAGCAGGTCATGAGGGAAGGGCACATCCATTTGGAGTAGAAGTAGTAGTCAGAGATTTGCTGTACCCTAGGAACAATTCAGAGTAGAATGGAGATAGTGAGGATTTAATACAGCAGAGATCCAGCCCCCTGAATGACACATTTCTGCACACCTTCCACAGGAAAGCCCTAGACCTTCCTATTCCTGTCTACCTCAATGACACAATCTCCCTTCATTGTTTCCAAACCATCCCTTACTCTTCACAACCTATGACTACTTGGCTTCCATCTGAGAGCTCTGGCCATGATGCTGTCTAGTTATCGCTTGGGAAGAGAATGGGACAGTTTCTGAGGGTAGGAACCAGCTACCCTGGCAGGATAGAAATTGTACTCACAGGCTTGAGATCACAGTGAATGATCTTCTCTAGATAAAGCATTTGTAAACACTTCAAAACAGAGAGGGTGAAGCGCCGAACTACTGACAGACTGAAGCCTTGAAAGCTATTATTCTTCATTAACTCATACAAGTTGATTCTGGGAAAGAGAGAAAGTAATGTGCATCAGTGTAAAAAGTGTAATTCTAAGTTTGAACCAGCAAACAATCCCATACTACCTGGTTTCCCTCTGGTAATAGGCAAGTGTCAGACCAGGAGGCAGGGCTTTTGTGTCCTATAAACTCAACTTTTCCATTGATTCATGGGGACTCCAGGGTGCCACTCAATTGTGCTGGCCTCTCAGATGTGCCCTCATTTCTTACATGAGAAGGTCATTAAATAACTTTGTTATGTTGTGGGTGTTAAGACATTGGACCAAACTTCTAAAATATTCATAGTTCTTCGGGCCCTTGAGAAGAATCCACGAAGTCCACCAGTTACTCAACCCAGCAGCCACTTCTGCCCAAGCCTAAAAAGACTACGTAAAGATGTCAGGTTTGGCCTGGATGGTGTGGCTCAGTTGTTTGAGTGTCGTCTCGAGCACCGAAAGGTTTCTGGGTTTGATTTCTAGTCAGGGTGCATGCCTGGGTTGTGAGCTCCATCCCTGGTAGCGGGGCTTGCAGAGGCAGCCAATAGATGTTTTGCTCTCACATTGACGTTTCTCTCTCTCTCTCTCTCTCTCTCTCTCTCTCTCTCTCTCTCCTCCCCCCCATTCCTCTCTCTTTTTTTATGTCTGTAGCCAAACTTATCCCTGAGGCCCAGCAGAGGGGATCAGGGCCCATGCACCACAGTGTTTCTGTGGCAGGCTTCTGGGCGAGATCTGGTGGCTTTAAATCCAACCTTCTCATTTTATAGAGGTGGAAATTTAGTCTCAGAGAACCTTGTGCACTTGTGCAAAATCATGCAAGCAATTTTAACAACTAAGGCCAGACTAGAACCCAAGTAACCTCGTTATGAATTCAGTAGGGGGGGTAAGGGCAGAGGGTGGGGTGGGAACTGGGTGGAGGAGAGCTATGGGGAGAAAAAAGAGGAACAACTGTAATAATCTGAACAATAAAGATTTCATTTTTTAAAAAAAAAAGAAAGAAAGAAAGTACAAATTTAGTTCCCACTCCTTTTTCTAAAGAATATTTGTGTTAACTGTTGCAGTATTTCTTTTACATGTATTTTGTCCCTTTCCCCATACAGATTATGCATTTATTTTTTTTATCTCCTAGGCACCTGGTCCTATGCCTTGCTTACATAAGGCCTTAGAAATATAACTGACAGAATCTGATGTATCCATTAAGTGCCCAATCACATACAGCTATGAAGGTCGAAGACTAAAACAAACAAACAAAAAGACAATGATTTGATTGGAATTTGTGATTCTTATGCTGACTTTGGGGGAAATGTGAAACCAGGAGTTCTAGTAGTGTCATGGATAGAGAGGCAGACCTCCTGGGCTCGCCTCCACAAGCATGACAGTAATCCCCTGGAAGATTAAACTACTAATTGTGTTTTCAAGAATCTGGATATCAGATGAATTGATTATTATGAATACTGGAAGAATGAATTGTTTACTCAGTCCCTTACCATTCTAGATATGGAATAGCAGGATTAATCCAAAACCTCTGGCACCATAAACTAAGAAAGTACCCAGGCAGCCCTGAGAGAACATCTCTATTTAGACAATCGTTAATTGTCTAAGTATCCCAAATTATCCAATGAATTACATTTTTAAAAAGTAACCATTTTGGAGTGTGAGGAGAAAGGAATGAGGAAAAATTAAAGGATATTTAAGTATCTGTGAGAGTCAGGTTGATTTGGGAACTAACTCCTGGCCTCATATCTTCATACTTTTATACCTTTTCTCTAAGTACCTCTCTGTATTCCTCACATTTACAATCATTAATTCATCTAACAAACATTTACCTACATATTGACTGCAATATCTATTGTCAGGTACCATGTTAGGTCCTGAGAATAAAATGGTGAGAAGACATGATTCCTGACCTTGAGAAAACTTGCAGTTCAGTGGCAGGCACACATAAGCAAACAAATCCTACAGAAAGCAATCAGTGAAGTAACAGAGCTAAGTATAGAATGCTAGCAGGTCATGAGGGAAGGGCACATCCATTTGGAGTAGAAGTAGTAGTCAGAGATTTGCTGTACCCTAGGAACAATTCAGAGTAGAATGGAGATAGTGAGGATTTAATACAGTAGAGATCCAGCCCCATGAATGACACATTTCTGCACACCTTCCACAGGAAAGCCCTAGACCTTCCTATTCCTGTCTACCTCAATGACACAATCTCCCTTCATTGTTTCCAAACCATCCCTTACTCTTCACAACCTATGACTACTTGGCTTCCATCTGAGAGCTCTGGCCATGATGCTGTCTAGTTATCGCTTGGGAAGAGAATGGGACAGTTTCTGAGGGTAGGAACCAGCTACCCTGGCAGGATAGAAATTGTACTCACAGGCTTGAGATCACAGTGAATGATCTTCTCTAGATAAAGCATTTGTAAACACTTCAAAACAGAGAGGGTGAAGCGCCGAACTACTGACAGACTGAAGCCTTGAAAGCTATTATTCTTCATTAACTCATACAAGTTGATTCTGGGAAAGAGAGAAAGTAATGTGCATCAGTGTAAAAAGTGTAATTCTAAGTTTGAACCAGCAAACAATCCCATACTACCTGGTTTCCCTCTGGTAATAGGCAAGTGTCAGACTAGGAGGCAGGGCTTTTGTGTCCTATAAACTCAACTTTTCCATTGATTCCTGGGGACTCCAAGGTGCCACTCAATTGTGCTGGCCTCTCAGATGTGCCCTCATTTCTTACATGAGAAGGTCATTAAATAACTTTGTTATGTTGTGGGTGTTAAGACATTGGACCAAACTTCTAAAATATTCATAGTTCTTCGGGCCCTTGAGAAGAATCCACGAAGTCCACCAGTTACTCAACCCAGCAGCCACTTCTGCCCAAGCCTAAAAAGACTACGTAAAGATGTCAGGTTTGGCCTGGATGGTGTGGCTCAGTTGTTTGAGTGTCGTCTCGAGCACCGAAAGGTTTCTGGGTTTGATTTCTAGTCAGGGTGCATGCCTGGGTTGTGAGCTCCATCCCTGGTAGCGGGGCTTGCAGAAGGCAGCCAATAGATGTTTTGCTCTCACATTGACGTTTCTCTCTCTCTCTCTAGCCAATAGATGTTTTGCTCTCACATTGATGTTTCTCTCTCTCTCTCTCTCTCTCTCTCTCTCTCTCTCTCCCTCTCTCTCTCTCTCTCCCCATTCCTCTCTCTAAAAAGTCAATTGTAAAAAATTATTTAAAAATAAAAAAACAAAAAAGAAAGATGTCAGGTTCCTGACAGGTAAGGGAGCAAGAATGTGGACAGATGGGGGCTGGAGTAAAACAGAGACACCCTACCCTATCTATACCAAACCTGACCACTTGGTTCCATCCATCACTTTGCAGGAATAAGATCTAATTCTTATCAGATTTTCCTAAACTTTCTAGACAAGCAGAAGTCTGCAATCTATACTAATAAAAGGGTAATATGCTAATTAGACCAGATAGACCAGACATCTTCTGCATGTCCTTCTGGATGTCCTTCTGGACAAAGCCACAGTGGCGGGGCCAAGGCAGAGGCAGTTAGGGGTAATCTGGCAGGCAGGCAGAACAGTTAGGCGTGATCAGGCCAGCAGGGGAGAGTGGTTAGGGGTGATCAGGCCAGCAGGGGAGAGCAGTTAGGCGTGATCAGGCAGGCAGGCAGAGGCAGTTAGGGGCAATCAGGCAGGCAGGCAGCAGGATTAGGGGTGATCAGGCAGGCAGGCGGAGGTAGTTAGGGGCAATCAGGCAGACAGGCAGGTGAGTGGTTAGGAGCCAGTAGTCCCGGATTGTGACAGGGATGTCAAACTGCTGGTTTAGGCCCGATGCCCCCAAAAGGCAGGCAGGCAGAGGTAGTTAGGGGCAATCAGGCAGACAAGCAGGTGAGCAGTTAGGCGCTAGCAGTCCCGGATTGTGAGAGGGATGTCCACCTGCTGGTTTAGGCCTGATCCCCCCAAGGGGTCCCGGATTGGAGAGGGTGCAGACTGGGCTGAGGGTCCCCCGCCCACCCTGTGCACAAATTTCATGCCTCTAGGATTATATAAAAACCAACCATATTACATGAAATCTGCTGACTTACAAATGTTGGAAACTAATGCAAAGCATTTTAACAAGAAAAACATATTTGTGGGTTACCAGGTTATGACTTCTGTACAAACTGTAAGATGGAGAGAGGAGGGATAGGACATAGCTCAGAAGTGACTCTGCATTGGCCTCTTTCTGATTTCTCCTAATCTTCTATCTCTAAACTTTATCTAATTCTGCCTGTATTTAGGAAGCCATTCATTTTTGATGGGCATAGTGGCCTCATCTTAAGCAGCTCTGTGACCTGGGCAACTCTGCAACCTCTCTGGGCTTTGGCTTTCCCCCACATACACTGCTCCTCCTGACTTCTCAGAGCACTTTCAATACAATGACATGCTAACTGGGCACTTGCTTAATGGCCAAATCAGGCAGCCTGGGTTGTCCATGTTGTCACAGGAAGAGAATTCGCTTGTGGAAAGTGGACATTTTGTAATCATCAGAGAAGGTGAGGAGAGTGTCAACTTCACTCCTGATTCAAATTTAGCCAGTTTCTAGAATTTCAGCAATGGTGTCATGGGAACACCAAGCTACCAGCTCAGTAAAGCTGATAATACTGGGCTTCTGAGAGGTCACCTCTAACTATTCTCCTTTGCTAAATACATTCTAGGTCTCTGGTTTTATTTAAATTTTATCAGATGGTCTTCTCAGAGAGAAAAGTAATCAAATTAGCATGTCCTTCCAATTAGAACACTCCGTCAGCTCCAATATTCAACCAGGTGATGCCAATCTATTTTAGTCAGATTCTGCTCTCTTATCAAAAAAATCTGCTCCTGTCCTTATTTGCGCATAAAAAAAAGCTCTTTCCCCACTCTAAGCAGCCAGTTTGCCTGCTTTTCTGAGTTTCAACCTCTGCATCACAGGGTGGTAAAGCCAGTAAATAGGGAAATGGTAGCAAAAAAAAAAGTCCTTTTCAACATATTTCAGTTTCACTCTTGAGGGCAGAAGCCTTGTTTTGGTTATGTCACCCAGTCCAGCACCCAGCACCTGGTGGCACAGCCTGTGTATGCTCCCAGGTGACAGGCATGATGAAGGGATGGGGTGAGATTGGCAGCTTTTGGCTCAGTCTCCTCGCTCCTAGGCTTTCTCTATATGTCCATTCTAGTCATTAAATGTTTACATCCAGAAAAATCTAGTGTCTGACCTCAAAGTTTCTCTTCTGTCACCTTAAGCCACTTTTTGAAAGTAAATGAATTAAAAAGAAAAGGCAGCTGACCCCAGGAGTTCGAAGGTGATGCAGAGGTGGTTGCGGAAGTAGAAAAAGTCCTTCATGTGCACCACATTGTAGGTGTTGTCCTTGTCCTTCCTTCTGAGAGTGTCCAGGATCTTCAGCTCCACCAGGGCCTGGTGGTGAAATCTGAAGTGGTTGGGGAGGGGCAGGGAGGATGAGAAATGGAGACAGGAGACATGGTGTCATATCATGCTGCAGCAGTAGCCCATTTCCTCAGCTCCTTCCCTTGACCCTGGCAAGGCAGAAAGCACTAAACTCTCCATACCTTGCATTCCCCTTCACCCACCATGGAATCAGATAGGCAAAAAAGAAAGAAAAGATCAGAGGAAGGGGCAGGGTTGGGAAGGGTTGGCATTATGGAGGGGCCAGAATCATGCAGTCCCTCCTCTATAGCCTATGCTACTATCCACCCCACCTCTTCTTGTTCCTGATGATTTTCAAAGCCACCAACTCATTGTTTTTGTGATCCAAGCACTTGGCCACCTGTCCAAATGACCCTTTCCCAATCATCTCCAGAACCTCGTAGCGGTAGGCAATGTGGTCATGCAGGACCTACAGAAGCCAGGCAAAGGGTGAGGAGCAGAGCCATAGACTCTGAGGTTCCCTGACACTGAGGCCCCTGGATACCCATTCTCAGCTCATGGCTGACTCCTGGCAGGAACTTTCTGAACCACACTGGGCACTAGTGCAACTCCCACCCTCATCTCATTGCTACTGCAATGGTTAGGTTGTTGTCTTGATCCCACGCTACCCAGGTGATACCAGGAAAAGTCCCACAGGCTCTATCCATGTCAGGTAATGCAAGGAACATTGGGTGTTGTTTGGGGAAGAGCAGCTTCCGTTTGGGGGAAGTTCTGTTTCTGACCCCTGATGTGTCTCCATCAATGAGAGAAGGCTTTGTGTCTGCTCTGTGTCTTTCTGGCCAGACCTAGTTCTCCTCTTGACATATCCAGATTTATTCTACCTTGGAGTTAGCAAGTTACCGAGTTATGTAACTTGGACCTTTCTTAACTATAAAGCGAAATCATTTCCAAGAGCCAGAATCATCCATGCCCCTCCATGTGGTGGAAACTACAAAGCAACTGTTTAGTCAAAGCAACAGAAAATTATACATTAAAAAAAAACTTTCTGGGTGTCTTCAGACAAGCCACATACCCACTCTAAGCTGCAGTGCCTTCATCTGAAACTGAAGGTTCTAGATAAGATGATCTCTAAGACCTTACAGCTCTGAGAATCTGTGATTCCTAGTGTTACACTCATGAATTTGGGAGAGGTGAAGGAAAAGTGTTCGTGTACAAGTCCTCAGAATGTATTTGTGATTGTGTGTGGGGGGATCTGTTCTCATAGGAGGAATCAAGACCATGCACATGCACAACTTCAGTGATATGTGGAAATAGATTGCTCTACTTGTAAAGGTTCTGCACATGTTGATGTAAAGATATATGTGGTTCCCTGGCATTTGTACGTATCTTCTACATGCCACCAGTTTGGAGGATCATAAGTATTCACTCACACTTGGACATTGATTGAGGCAAAGTATCAGGCCATACTCATTTTTTATAGTTTCCTAAGTATTTCCAGAGTCTAGCAGATGCCCAAGTATATGATAGGTTCTCAATTAATATTTGCTGACAGAATAAATGTGAGAATGAGGTTGTGTTGCTTGTTTGGAAATTTGCTATGTACATTGTATATTTGTGCATATACTAGAATGCAACAAAGATGGAGATTCCAAGCATACAGAAAGCACACATATCACTCTCCCCCCAACCAAAACATAGCTCTCGAAGACTTGAGATTGAGGAACTGAATTCCAGTGAATTAAAAGGTAGTGCTGAAATCCCTGGGGAATTTCTCAGAGACTCTAGGCCCAGATGAGGGGGAGAGGGAAGAGGAGGGAAGGGAGAATGTGGGAAAGTTTGTCTGAAATGGTGGTAAGGTTTGTATTAAAGATTCTTAACCAAGGACCCATTAACTATCCCCCCACCCCCACCGAAATTTTGTGTCTGTGCAGGGTGCCTTTTCTGATGTAAGGATTTATAGCTTTTATCAGATTCCTAAAGGGATTCTTGACCTAAAAATGTTGAGAACTAGGGCTCTAGATAGAGGATGTGTGCCAGAAATTCTAAATCCTTCTTCTCAAAGTGTGGTCTGAAGACCAGAAGCATCAGCATCACCTGGAAGCTTTTTAGAAAGGCAAAAATCAGCCCTAGTTGGTTTGGCTCAGTGGATAGAGCGTCAGCCTGCAAACCGAAAGGTCCTGGGTTCGATTCTGGTCAAGGGCACATGCCTGGGTTGTGGGCTTGATTCCCAGTAGGGGACATGCAGGAGGCAGCTGATCAATGATTCTCTCTCATCATTGATGTTTCTATCTCTCTCTCCCTCTCCTTTCCTCACTGAAATCAATATATATAGGCAAAAATTTCAGGTCCCACCCCAGACCTGTTGGATAAGAATTCAAAATTTTAATAAGATCCTCAGGTGATTTGTGTGCATAGTAAAGCTAAGAGAAACACAACCCTAAGTGTTATTAAAACAATCTGCCTCTCTGTGAAGTCATCGAAGGCCAATCCTCCTAAACCTAATCAAGTAATGAAGAGTGTCCAGAGAAGGAAATTCCCACAAGCCCACCAGCCTAGTGGAACAAGCATCACTTATTTGGACATCCTCAGAAGTGGGAATCACTTCCTGAAGCAATAGGGATACTTTCCATTGCCCAGATTTCACCTGAGGCTGGGGAGAGGCCCTGTCCTGGGAAGCCACAGAGATACAGACAGAAAACTGAAGGAAGTCAATCACCAGGGACTCTATGCACCAGGGACTATAGTGGCAAAAGCTTTTTTTTCTTTATTTTTATTTTTTGTCTGTAGGAGAAATGACATTTATTATAAAATAGAAAAAAGGCCCATGTATGGGCTGGTGTGGGGACAAAAAGGGAATGTTGGGGAGACCGCATCTTATTCCATACTCAGTCTTTTACCAGTGGGTCCAGGGCTGTGAGAAGAGCCTGTGGGAGTTCACCCAGGAAACTGTTAACCCAAATACTCTTAGAGAAAATTATATTCTGTTACTAGAGTAGTTTGTGTCTTAATTGCATGTTTTCCCATTTATAAAAATGGCATTTCTTTGGTTTAGCACCTACTAGAATACTTCAGGATGCCTAGTCCCAGATACATCAGCACCAAAGGCTATAAAATACCCCACACTTTTTTCCCTTTCTAAGCCTTTTTGTCCCCAAGTCCCAAACCCCTGCAGTTTCTATGACCTACTCCCCCATCACCTTCATATAGGAGCCATGTTCATCATCAAAACTCGTCTTGCTGAATTTCTCAGGATCCACGTGGAGCTTCTTGGCTTTGAGCCCCAGGAACCACAGCTCTGTGTAGCCCAGGATTTCACTTTGCTCATAAGAAGACAGTTCGTTCCTAAAACACCTTAGGGCCTCTGTGTGAAAAACTGTGGTTGTCAGTTCAGTGAGGCACCCAGGGATCTGCCCAAGGTTGGAGACGATGGCAGCTCTTCCAGTTTGTGGCCAGTGAAGCCCTTTCCGCACCTAGGAGGCTTACTAAGGACTATGCATCTTGAGTCTCACAGGGTTGAACTATAACACGGATACAGGTCAAGGTGTACTGTTTTCAACAACCCAGGAGAAAAACACAAAGGAAGTGAAAGGGAGCATTCAGCCCAAGTTAATTTGGTATTGGGCTGCACAAATAGTTTATCCTGAGAGGATCTAAAAGCTATGATGTCTTCAGGGGTCAAGCAGGTAACATAAATATGACTTTCAAAGCCCAGGAGGTATTGCTAGCTGAGCCAGTGAGTCCCTCAGACTATAAGGAAGGAACATGTGTTAGCTCTTCTCTACCCTACCCTGGCCCAATCACATCAGGGTCTTGTGTTTGGTCTGGGGGTGGGTGGGGTGGGATTCAAACTTTAAGAGAGATGTAGATAAACTGGAGAGTGCTGAGAGGAGGGAAACCAGGATGGGGGAGAAGAAGGGGCACGGTGTTATTTAACAAACTGCTGAAGAGTTGGCGAAGGAATTATTGGGGGGGAATAAAAAAGACTTATGGGGGACAAGACCTGTGTATGTCTCCATATATACAGTGTAAGTTGACTAAGGCATGTTCCTGGCCCAGAAGAACTGAGGCCTGAAAGAGCAGGAAGACACATCGCAGTTCTTCAAAGGCAAAACTAGTTCAGAACTAGAATATCTCCTCCAGGGCTATTCCTGAGCTTTTTAGAAGCAGCAGCACAACCAATTTCAAAGATGTGGGAGAACAGCTCTGAGCATCAGATAGTGTTGGGACATGATAGATGCTCAGTGGATTTGGGTTTTCTTCCTTTGAACCTTAATAGGTTATGAATCTCTGAACCTTGTGAGGAGTCAGCTCCTGGCCAAAAACCGATGTGTAAACTTTCAGGCCTGACCATAGGCCAGTTCTGAACCTTGTGAGGAGTCAGCTCCTGGCCAAAAACCAATGTGTAAGCTTTCAGGCCTGACCATAGGCCAGTGGTTCTCAACCTGTGGGTCGCGACCCCTTTGGGGGTCAAACGACCCTTTCACAGGGGTCGCCTAAGACCATCGGAAAACACATATATAATTACATATTGTTTTTGTGATTAATCACTATGCTTTAATTATGTTCAATTTGTAACAATGAAAATACATCTTGCATATCAGATATTTACATTACGATTCATACAGTAGCAAAATTACAGTTATGAAGTAGTAACGAAAATAATTTTATGGTTGGAGGTCACCACAACATGAGGAACTGTATTAAAGGGTCGCGGCATTAGGAAGGTTGAGAACCACTGCCATAGGCAATTATGAAGGCTTTACCTGGCAGATGTCATGGGGAAGCTGCCCTCCCCCACACCAGCCTTGGTGCACAGCCAAATGCATTAACATCTGGGAAGAGTTTAAGTCAAGGACTCAGGGTCCCTTGCTGGCAATGCACTTATATATACCTAACCCAGGAGCCTCCATTCAGAGGCCTCTGCAGGTACTTCTGCCAAGATCTCTTTATCAAGAAGATGGGACAAACTTCAAGACATTTTTCCCCACTCTGACTCAGTACTCAGTACTTTTCCGCTTCTAGCACTCCTCTTCCCCCTCTCCTCTATAAAAGGACAGGAGCCTAGTCAGGCTCTCCAGGCAGTGGGCTAGTGCCTCTGACTCTGCTGGTACCTGAGACCCTGACCTGGTGCCAGTCCATGGCGGGGGGGAGGGGAGAAGAGGAGGAACAGAGGGGGTCAGTGTTTTCTCCTATTTAGCATCCTGCTTACAAAAGGTTTGACTGTTACTTTCTTTTGGTTTGTTGCCTTAATTGACTAATCCAATACCTAGCAGCTTAGCCTTCTCCAGCTCAGCTCAGCTCTTCACACCTGACCATGGATAACCACCCCACCATACCCTGCTACTGCCCTGAAGGCATACCTGTCGCTGTCAGAGGCACCTTCTGCTTCCTTCGTGGCTTCTCCTTGGACTTGGGATCTTGGGGGTTGGCGCTTGAAAGGGAAGGCATTTCTGAAGCCCTGTCTTCAGAGGCCAGCATCTGATTCTGATTTTGATTCTCCTGTTCTTGGAAAGAACTTGTGATAAACTCCTTAAGCTTCTCCTGGGTGTCCTAAACTATTCACCTGACCAAGAACACCTATATCCAGACAGGCTCTACTCCTTCATCTCCAGGGAGAAATGGTAACGATGAGACAATAGGCTTTCTCAGTCTTTCCCTCAAAGAGAGTACAGTGGGGCCTTGTCTTACGAGTTTAATTCGTTCCGAGACCGAGCTCAGTAAGGAGCTCGTTAACTCAAATTACTCTATCAACTCAATGCAAAAAATCCGCTGAGAGACAGCTGGTATCTCAAAAAACTCGTTAGTCGGGACACTCGTAAGTCAAGGCCCCACTGTATCTGTCTGACTCATCTTTGTGAGATCCATGTACATTATGCAGTTAACAGTATGCACTTAACAGCTCCAGTGACCTCTACTGCAGGAGGATATGTATGGAACAGTATTTTACTGCTGCTTGAGAAGGACAATTCCTAACCAGATAAAGTGACTTGTCCCAGGACACAAACACTATACTTATGAGTGTATAACACCCTTTAACTTGGCACTTTCTTACATTATCTCATTTGGTCCTATCTCAAAAAAGGGAGGAAACAATGGAGGCAAAAAATTTTTTTGTACACCAGACACTTCATTTTCCTTTCCTCAGTGAATCCTCATGACAACCCTAGAAGAGCTCATTTTGTAGATTAAAAAAAAAAGTCAATGACTTAACAGTATTTGCTGAAAATTACATTCATTGTAAAGAGTGAAAACAGGACTAAAACCGGACTCCTCGACTGCCTTGGGCTTTTCCCACCTTCCTGGGCCTTTCTAAACATTGGTTCTGAACTGAAATCAAGTCATCACCTCCTGCTCAGATCATGCCCACCACCCAGCACTCACCGTATACAGCAGAGGTGGATTCAGCATGATGTTGTGGCTGATGTGTGGGAAGTTAACCATGTTTTTATTCCCCTTGGTATCCACAAAAGGGAGTGAAGTAATGCTGGTGTTTGTATCCTATAGAAGGAGAAAGTGGAAAAGTTACAGAAGCCTCAAGCAAGAAAAAGTCTCTGGGAGTCATTTCTCCCAGCATCCTCCCCACAGCAAGGATGAGCCTGAACCAAATCTAGGCCTTAATTAATTAATTAATTAATTTTAATTTATCTTTATTGTTGAAAGTATTGAAGATGTCCCTTTCATTTACCCCTTTGACCACCTCCACCCTGCACCTGCCACCCCCAGGCCTACTGCACCTATTGTCTGTGTCCATGGGTAATGCATATAAGTTCTTTGGTTAATCTCTTCCCATCCCCCTCCTTCTCTCTGAGATTCATTTTTAAAGTTCTTGGAGAGAAAATCAGAGTGATCAAGCAGATGGCCTCTGGGTTTGAATCCCTGTAAACAGATCATACTCTATCTAAGCTGCAATTATCTCATCACTACCATGGGGACAACAATGGGACCTACCTCATACTTTCTGGGAGGTAAATAAGGCAATCTATGCAGGACAGTCCATAAGTATTAGCCATTATTATCATCACTACAATATCTTACAACCTTAACATGGGAAAGTTCTTCCTGCAAATTTTCCTTGGTACAACATAGTTCCCACTTACTCTACGTTATTGACTTGACATACTCACTTGGATTCCTCCCCCACCCTGCATTGATTGAGTGACTGATTGATTAGGAAAGAGGTAGTTTGACTACCAATTAATAGAACAGTTAACATCGTGTGGAGATGGGGCATGGTGATTTGGAAAGAATGTACTCATCATGTTGTGCTGAGTTGAACAAAAATGCCTGTTACAAAGTACCTGCCCTCATCCTCTCCTAGAGAAAAGATATTAAGCATCACTTCCTACCTTATGCAATAATCGGGTCATTCTCTGGTTCGTGATCTTAGAAGGTATCTTCTCATTTTGAAAACAACGGTTACACTCAATCTGGATCAAGTGGAAGAGAATTGGAATAATGCTTCACATGGTTTCATCTTAAGCCACTCAGACATTTATTTTGCTTCATTACAATAAACAAGATACATTTTACGCCAGCTATCCTGACCTCAAAGCTAGGATGGGCTAAGAGGGGCTCAAAAAAGTGCTGAATGAATGTCTAAAGGACTGAGTGAGTGAATACTCAGACAAATGATCTTTCTAGCATTATTTATCCTGGATTAACCTGTCCTATGGTTTGCACACATTTTTTAAAAATTCACATAACCCTTTTATCAAATAAAATTGTAACTAGAACCTCAGGACATGGGAAGAGATAAAAGCTGATGTTTTCTTGCTAAAGAGGAGAAAATGCCCATAGTCTTGCCCAGGAATGTTTTCACCCTCAGAGTGGCTTTGAAGGGAAACCTAGACTCTAGTGACTAGAGTATTAGGTACCCAGCCAGAACACCAGTGACCTTATCAGAAGAGATTTCACATCTAAAAAGAGGTGGAGAGAGGAGATGAAAACAGCAGTGTGTCCTAAAGGTTGGTAAGCACACAATGAAGCATGTGGCATAATTGTGAATAGTACACAGATAACAGTTATCTAAGAGTTATTCATTTATTTTAACATTTATTTGAAAAACTATAACTAACACATTAAACCTGTAATTTTGTGGTTATTATTTAGAATAGGACTAAAATTTAAGTTAAAAAACAACAATGTGAGTACTATATAGATATGGCAAAAATCATGAAGGTAGCACTGAGAAATGACTAAAGTTCAGCAAAAACAGCCTGCAGTTTGAATCTAGGTCCTGTTCTTTGAAGCAGAACCCAGGGGTCTCCTTCCAGCCCTCTCTTACAAATTGAATGAAATTTATCCAAAGTTGAGGCACAGCTGGTACCAGACTCACACCTGTAAAACTTAGTACACTGGCTGCATTGAAATAGGCACAGGGTACAATACTTCAACTTAATATCACCTATCACAGCTAAGCCCTCCACAGAGCTGTAATGGTGTGGACTATTTAATATAGTCTATCTCGATCTTCTGGAATAGAGTTATGAGAGGGAGAGGGGACTGCATAGAGCATGGGCCATGGCCTCAGACCAAACTCATTTCATTAGCTAATGTGTACTATATACAGGATTAAATTGTCTATTGGATGGACAATGATGCTATCTGAGCAAACACTGCAATGGCAAATCTTAGTGAGTCCCAACTTCTCATCAAATAAGTTTGTGGGGTTTAAAACTTATAATCATCAATACTGACAAGCTGGCATTGAGAATGAGTTGGGGAGACTGGACAGATAAATGAAAAGTACATCAACAAAACACAATTCAGACTAAATGCCAAATGAATAGCATGGAGAATGAGTGTCAACAAAGAAGGAAGAGATCACTCTGAACGCAGTCTGCCCAAGAGAATAAAGGGAGGCTCTTTGGTAGGGGTGTGGCTTGTTCTGGACTGTACTTGGGAGGAAGGGCAGAAAGTTTATTAGGTGAAACAACAGTATCTGGGCACACTCCAGGGGTCTTCACTGCTCATGCAGTTGAACTGGAGGACAGTGTACACTGGATTGTGGAAGGCACTCAATGCTAAACTAAGACACGTGGTCTTTATCCTGTGGGCAACCATGAACCACTGTGCCAGTGTGCAAGACTGGGAGTTACATATGCAAAGCAGCATTTCAGAAAGATCCCTCTAGCAGCAATGCGGCATAAAACAATGCTCATCAATATGGACTCTGAAGCAGACTCTGGTTTTGAATCTCAGCCCCACTGCTCATTAGTTGTTTGGCCTTCAGCAAGTTACTAATCTCTCCTAATGTAATATGGGGATAATAATAGTACCAACCCCATAGGGCTGTTGTGAAGATTAATTGAATTCATATGTGTAAAGAACTTAAAGCAGTGTCATGTATATGCTAAGGGTGTTTGCTAGAGCTCATTTTCCTCATTTGGTAAAATAGAGAGAGAGAGATCTTTGCTCATTTCTTGTGAAACAGGAAAACCATAGACTTAGAAGTGATGCAGGATGCACAAGATGGTGTGGGACCCGAAATGATTTAAGGAGCTGAGGATGATTAATCTGAAAAAAAGACAAAACTTCTGAGAGATTAAAAATTCTGATACTGCCATGTATTATACTGGAGTCAAACAATTAATAAATGGATGATAGATGGTAGAAACCAGGTTTCTCACTGTTAGTGTGGAAATTAATAGATAATCATGCTCAACATCAACATTACCATCATGGATAATGGATTAGAGTTGGAGATATCAACAAGAACTCATGTTTAACTTAATATAGGTACAGATGGCTACATACAGAAATATTTATGGATATGTGTAAATATATGGATTAGCACTTGAATGTGCACATACACACACTTCTTTGCTTTGTCAGCTGAGAGGTCATAAAGGAAATAACACTCCAGTAAAAGCAAGCACACCTAGCACTCAGATCCTGGTTTCTAATTCCTTTCTCCAATAAGAGGAACGAAGGCTCCTTGGAGAAATAACTGATTTTAGGACTGGGGCAGGAAATGTATGAGATGAGCCTGGAGCATCTTGTAGGGACAGAAAGTAAAGAAGTGTTCAAAGAAAAACCCAAACCCGACAATGATGAGAGTGTGTGAGAAAGGTACATGAGCCCACTGAAAGAGCTGCCAATGGCCAAAGCTGGAACAATTTTAGCAACAAAGTAATATTGGATGATAACTCTAAGTATAAAATAAATATTTGTGATTCCATACTGATGTAAATAAATGATTTAATAAAGAAATACAAAGGGGAGATGAGACATGTCTTCCATGCAGAAGAATTTCTAATAAATTACATAGATACTCCACCCTGAATGGGGAGGAGCACAATGCCCATTCCTTCAGCATGGGCTGTGCATAGTGACTGGTTTCCAACAAGCCCAGCATGGAGAGAGAGAAACCAGACAAACACTGCCTCTGCAAGGTAATCCAGGGCAGCATCAACAGTCACAAATCATGTTGACAGTATGTACCGTTGATAGAATTTGGTGAAAGTGGTACTTTACCTCAGTGGACTTCCTCCCAAAACCTATAATCCTAATCTCATAACGAGAAAAACAGACAAATCCCAAACCAGTAAACTGTCAAGGTCATAAAAAAAGGGGGTCAGGGGAGTCTGAGAAACTATCACAGCCAAGAGGAAGGAGCTTGGGGAGACATGAGAATTAGATGTAATATGGTATGTTGGCTGGAACCCTGGAACAGACAGAGGACATTAGGTTAAAATTAAGGAAATCTGCCTAAAGTATGGAGTCTCCTTAATAATAATGTCTCAATATCTGTTCATGAATTATAACTAAGGCACCATACAAATGTAAGATAATAATGTGGACAAAAGGGGCCACATGCTGACCTGACAAGCTCAGGGGGAGGCCTGCATGGCAGTCTTGCAAACTCAGAACCTAAAGTAACCACAAAGGATGGTCTGAAATTAAACTTTAAAAAAGTAGTTATGGTGGGCAGTTACGTCCTAGGCCAGTATCTTTACTGACAAGGTCAACCTTTACCTTAACTGAGCCTATCTGTCTTTTTGCATCTATGGTAACATACCCTTGAAATGTCTGGGTAACTTGTAACTTTCCTTTTTCTGGAGCCCCTGGGGCACAACCAAATTGCTGGGTGCCAGGACAGATACCACAAATTCCTTCATTATCATGTTAATTGTTCCTGCACCCACCTAAGTATCCATCATTTTACTTTTTATCCAATCCCAGGGGCTTCCCCTGCTTTGCTTTATCCCTCCTCCTTAATCTATCACCAATGAATTTCATGTAACCCACCTATATCCCTCCTTTGATTGCAATGTATAAATACAAATGTAACCCTGCCATTCTCCAGAGCATTATCTCAGGTTCTGCTTCCCGGCATGTGTCGATAGTTTGGCTCAAATAAACTCACTAAAATTCTTTACAGGTTTCAATGTTTGTTTGTTTTTATGTTAACACTAATAACAGAGGAAACCTGCACAAGGTATGGAGTGGAAACTCACAAAAATTCTTTACAGGTTTCAATGTTTTTTCTTTTTTTTTTACGTTAACACTAATAATAGGGGAAACCGGCACAAGGTATGGAGTGGTATGTGGGAATTCTGTACTATCTGCTTATGACACATTACAAACTTGTTCTACATGGTCCAAAGAACAGGATCTGGTCAAAGTGTGGAACTTATAAAGAGGTAGCTTTTGGTTTAATAAAAAGAAGGATTTTCTTTAGAGCTGTCCAAGAATGGAACATGAGTCCTCGTGAGGTGTGAGCTTTCCATCACTGGAAGAGCCCAAGCCCACCTAGTAGCATCTGTGAGAAATGTGCATAGAATTGAGGCTGAGCAAGATGCAATCGCCAAGATCACATCTGCCTGTAAAAGTCATTCAAATGACCTTGGGGAGTATGTCTTGAATGCAACCTTCATCCTCGTGTGGAACCAAGGTTGAGAACCATTGCATGGAACAGTACTCCCCAGCCTTTGTCACATCATGTACACATAAGCAATACTATTTGTATGACAAGCTGAGGTGACCAGAGGCAGCTCTCAGCCAGGAGCTACCAGCCCTGGGTTCCAGCTGCCCCAGGCTTGACCAGGCCACTTTGAGAGCTGGTAGCCTCCACATCTCTGCACACCACAACCCGTGCATGGATACCAGTATGTTGCACAAGTTTATGAACTTGCTTAGTGGTTTGTTGTCTTAAGCATCTTCCTCAAGAGACACACAATGCTCTGTAACAACACTTCATTCTTTGGTAGCATTCCCCCGGAGGCAGAAAGAAGAAGGTGCGAGCTCCTGTATTCAGGTGGCGAAACAGAATTTTTCCTTTAACAGTGAGTTTCATGACATTGTTCTGTGATCCCTCGCTGACCTCTGAGCTGATATAGTAGCAATCTCTCTAACAGTCTTGAACTCTG